TATGTAGATTATTGCTGGTTATCTATTTAGAATCATTGTTTTAGAAGCTTCCCTGTTATAAGCACCAGTTTGGTTTTATATTTTACTTGAATTAATTTGAAAATAATAGGGGTTGAAAAATTGATATAAAATTTAGTCTAATTTTTTTATTAAAATGATAAATTGAAATTCCTTTTTAAATTTATTATAATTTCATTCCGCGCGGCAGAAGATATCATTTTTGGGTAGGGTCGAACTTAACTACTAAGCTTTGACTAGGAATTAATCTTATAGTTGACTTAAATAATTGAAGCTTATAGAGATATTCAGAGACCAACTCATCTCAAAAAAATAATTAGGGACAATATATCAAAACAAAAATATCATTTTTTTCTAAAGTGTTTTATTTAATTTGATCATTAATTATGTCACCACCTTCTCAATCTGAAAAGCTTTACTTCAGGTTTTTAAAAAAAAAAAAGGAAAAAAAAGAAGGAAAAAAAAAGCTTTCTCTCTAGTCTCTAGTTGGTTGATTGGTTTAAGGATAAATAGGGGAGGGGTGTTAGTAGGTATAGTTTCATAATTTTGAATTCTAACTATGCTAATTACTGTTTTATTATAATAATTTTCTTTATAATCCCGTCATATGTCCTACCTTATATTACAACAGAGAGATAAATTAGTTAAGATACACAAACTGACCCACGCACAACTTGTGATTTGAAAAAAAAATCCCATTTTATTAATTTTTATGTCTGACTACAAAATAATGTGTACCTAAAATTAAATAATATATATTTCTCTTGATTGGGTAGACTTATAGTTTATTGATTAAAATAATAATAATAATTGACGAATACTTACCCCCACAAAATAAATTATTTTGGATTCTAGCAAATATAAAATCAAATTCGAGACATGCCTAATAGTACTGGGACCATCTAGAAGTTGCAAATTAATGACATTTTAGAACAATAATAAATATACATACCCAAGCACACGTATAAATATCTTCGCTCAATATTATTTAATGTTCCCAATATTCACAAATCTACTGAATGGGTGAAGACTGAAGAGGGAAACACATGAATAAAAACTCGAAATTGGAATCTGAAAATTAACTGCATGACGTATCCTAATTATACATGTCACTTCATGTTTGTTTTATTTTTATAATTTTATTATCATTAATTATACCTAAAATTTTATATATCTTTTTTTAATATATATATATATATATATATATATATATATATATATATATATATCTTTATTTTAATTTTACCTCCGCACTAACACCGATTAAATCATCCACAATGACAAATGTTACTTAGGAGATAGGTGGAAAAAAAGAAGGGAAAAAAAAATTAATATTTAATATTTAACACACTGAGCTTCTAATTGAGCTGTGAAGTGCTAGAGTGAGGGGAGAGTGATTCAAGTAGAACATTTAAAAAAAATACATCATCTTAAAAATTTTAACATGTTTATAATGTCTAATGTGAAGACAACACATTATTTGTACTGACAGATGCTCAATTTGAACTTCCGCAACTCATAAAATATATATATATATATATATATATATATATATATATATATATATATATATATACCGCATATACCGCATTACATACCACCACGTCGAACAATTTTTTGGTACAACCAATGTACCCAACATTAGTATTAAAAAAAAAAAATTTGATGAGAAATACTTGAAAAAATATGAATTAAAGTGGAAGAAAACTTTTTTCTTTTAAAAAAAATGTACCGAAACGAGTACATCCGTTGCATAGAAGAAAATTTTCACTCTGTCCCCACTCGCTCACCCTTCTTATTGTAAATATATCTTGTCTCTCAAATAAATTTTAGGTGCCGATGTAGGTACATCATATTCAAAATTTCAAAAAAACATTAAACTTAAACGAAAATAAAAATTAAAAGTTGAATTCAAATGAATTTTTTTTTTCCACTTTTAGAAAAAAGCAGCACCCAAGGGGATACTCCGGTTTCACCTTAGAAATATTAATACCCCTCACCTCTTACACATTTTTATTTCCATATCACCATTACTTTCAATTTTTCCTCATTCTCAAACACCAGTCATAATTAATAATTACGTTAATTATCAATTTAGAAATAATCTTTATGCGAATCATTATTGTGTTACTTGAAAATAATTAATCACGTTTCAATCAACATAAGAAATTTTTAAATAATTTATTATAATTCAATCAGCATAATTATTATTTTTTAAATTTATTCACCTATTAATCGATTATTTCGCTCAGTGTTTTAAAACTCGGACCGGTCATCGAACCGGTCGAGGTACTGGGTCACTGGGTCACTGGTTCAACCGAGTTGACCGGTTTTACTATTCACATATTAAAAATATAAAAATATTACTTATATTAATAAAAATTCACATAAGAAAACTATCTATGAACTTCAAAAAATAAATTGGTTTTCAATGATAGCAAATATTATATACTTCTAAGCTTCTAGCTCTAGACCGTTGAGATGAGATCATGAGACCATCAGTGTCTATCACCACTTAACTTCATGAGATCATTATAAGATGCAACTAAATTACATAAACGAACTACACTAATCTAAAATACCTTGTTATTTTCACCTTACTTTTAATCATATTCATCATAAAATATAAATATGATTTAATTCAAGAGTTCTTATCAACAAAAAAAAAAAAGTTTACCAAAAAAAAAAAGAGAGAAGAAAATACCGGTTTAACCCGGGTCGCCGGGTTTCGACCAGGTCAACCGGTCCAATTCGAACTGACTGCATAACCGATCTAACTACCCGCTCGGACCAGAAAACCCACCGAGTTACCGAGTCCCGAATCGACCCGGCAGGTACGAGTCGGGTTTTAACTAATTTCGCTAGTCAAATTCGAAACAATCGATAAGTCCAAATACTGATTGAAATTTGTAATTATCTATATTTTGTTTTTCGAAACTTTCTTGTTTTAATTAGAAATTTTAATACTGATATGTAACGACATACATATTGTAATTCTTATACCAGATCAAATAAATATGTTAAAAACTCACTCTAAAATATTTTATTTTATTTTATTTTTCAAATTTACGGTATTTTGGTCAATCAACTAGAGTGAGGGAGTGTGTGAACATGAATCTAAAACAGAACATATATATATATATATATATGGGAAAAACATTTCTCAAGCTGCTTGAGATAAATTTATCTTCGGCCACCCCAAAACTACGTCGTTTTGATTATTTATTTCCTTATATGTATTTATTTACCTTTGAATGGTTATGATTCCCCTTTTCTCTCTCTTCCTTTATCACCATTGATCCATCTTTGTACGGTTATGATTTAGTAGCCGGATATAACTTTATCTCCGGCAGCTTGAGAAATGATAAGCCATATATATATATATATATATATATATATGGATTTACATTTTTGTTATTTCCAAAAAAAAAAAAAAAGATTTACATTGTTACCGCTGCTGCATGTGCAACTAGTGTCAAATACTATCCATATATATACTTAAAAGCATTAAATATGAAAAATCATAATCATACAAAAAATAAAAGCATTAAATAAGAATTATAATCATACATCTGTCATTGTTGTACGTAAAGCGATTGTATAAATAATTTTATCATATATATATATATATGGGGTAGGATCATTTGACACTAGTGTCACATTTAAAATTTGACACATCATCTTAGAGCCGTTAAATAAAAAAAGATCAATGATGTTACATGCTTACAAATCAAAGTCGTTGATCTTTTTTGATCTAAGGGCTCTCAGATTAAGTGTCAAACTTTAAATTTGACAATGGTGTCAAAGGATCTGCCTATATATATATATATATATATTTTAAATGACACACCTTACATCCTTTTACTCAAATAAATATGTGGGACCCACATTTTTTAAAAATTTCTCCCCCACTCCCCCCCATGATTTATCTCTTTCTCTCACTTAAAATGACACAACAACTTTATGTCCTTTAAAATGATACACACTTTCCTCTCTATATATATATAGGCAGGATCTTTTGACAGAGTGTCAAATACCTTATCTGAGAGCCCTCAGATCAACGAATCTGACTTGTAAGCATGTGACACTATCGATCGTTTTTTATCTAATGGCCTTCAGATGAGGTAGGATCCTTTGACACTGATGTCAAATTTGAAGTTTGACACCTCATCTGAGGGCCGTTAGATAAAAAAAAATCAATGGTGTCACATACTTACAAATCAAAGTCGTTGATCTTTTTTTATCTAATGACTCTCAGATAAGGTGTCAAAGTTTAAATTTGACACTGATGTTAAAGGATCCTATATATATATATATATATACACATAGAAAGAGAGAGAGAGAGAGTGGGAGAGATGGAGTGTAGCTTAGGTAATTATAATACCACTACCACAAGTCCACAACACCATAGAAAATCTCCATACACGGTTCTTTCTCTGCCAGCCTGTTTTTGTGAGCTATTTAGTGCCCTTGACACCTTCCTTCATCCTTCTCCGCCACCCTCCCTACCCCTTCCTCCCCTATATAAAAATTTATATTAAGAGTACTTGTGCATGTACCATAATCTTGATTCTTGAATATGCACTATATATATGATCTACACTACTAAAACAACCCATGATGTGGCTTTGAAAGCAGAGCCATTCGTGTGGGACTTCGTAGGGAAGGGGGGTCCTTACAATTAAAAGATAAGCCCCACGTTTTTCTTTCATTTCTTCCCCTTTTCTCTCTCTCTCTCTCTCTCTCTTTCTCCCCTTCACCCTCTCTACTAAAACCCCCCCCTCTTCCCTCCTCCATTCCACATTCACATCCTTCACTCTCCCTCTCTCACACACACTCTGTGTCATTGTCACACACCCCAAACACACTTACTCTCACAAAACCAAACATAGACATCAAACCAAAACAAAACAAACAAAAAAACCTTAACTTTCTGTTCCGTAAAACAAAAAAAGAACACAGCTTTTGAAGTGTGACAAGCAATGGCTGAGCCACTAAGCTCAGAAACAGAGACAAGAAGCACAAGTTGCACTTCACCTTCTTCATCTTCACCACCACCACCACAACCACCATCATCAAGTTCAAGAAAGCGTGCGAGAGATAGCAATAGCAATAGCAATAGCAATAGCAAGCACCCGGTTTACAGAGGGGTCCGAATGCGCACGTGGGGCAAATGGGTATCCGAAATTCGAGAGCCCAGAAAGAAGAACCGAATCTGGCTCGGTACATTCGCCACCGCAGAGATGGCGGCGCGTGCACACGACGTCGCCGCGCTCACCATAAAGGGCTCCTCAGCCATCCTCAACTTCCCCGAACTCGCCGGGTCACTGCCCCGACCCGCATCCAACTCGCCCCGGGACGTTCAAGCAGCCGCAGCCAAAGCCGCTTCCATGGAAGTTCATCTCACCCCTCCGTCGCCGGAGGATTCGTCTTCGTCGTCGTCGACGCCGGAGGATCTGGGTGAGATAGTGGAGCTTCCGCCGTTGGGAACCAGTTTCGAATCACCCGACCCGAGTAGAGAGTTCGTGTTTTTCGACCCGGTTGATGGGTGGCCCTATCCTCACCCGTGGTATCACGGCATTTATGATGACCAGGATAATGGTGGTTACTTTATTGGAGATATGAACAACATGATATCAATGCAAGACTCAGAGAGTATGGTTCTTTCATCGTGGCCTTAAGAGGAAGATTGTTCTTTGTTACAACACTAATGTTTAGTGTTTTCCCTTTGGAGTGTGATTTCTTTTTTTCCTTTTTCTTTTTTTTATGAATTACATAGTATTTATTACTTAACCTTCAATATGGGCCCTTTGGCAATTTTTCTTTCAAGGGCTAAATATATGTTTATATATAAATATATATATTTGTTTTCTTGTTTCTCAAGTTGCTACTTTCTGTTAGTTTAATTTACACTTCTCTCCCTCTCTCTCTCTCTTTTTTTTTTCTAGTGTTTTTGTTGTGATCCTCATCTTTGTTATTAGTTCTACACAATGTTATTGCACAACTGGTATTTGGTATGACAATAGTTGCTTGGAAATGGTAAAAATTGAATCTTCAATGATGCAATGATGTAAATGAAGTGAAATATACGTGTAGAAAGTGGTTCCAAGCTTATATTATGTAGTTCTGCTTTTCAATTACAAGAATAAAGGTTAAAAGCAGATTCTCTATTGCATTTTTCATTTTTTACAGCTCATTCTTCTTTCTTTTTCTTTTTTTTTAACGAAAGACCCGGGTAACAAAATTCCAAGTCTATATATCATATGATTGAATAAAGTGGTTAAAACCATAGTTTTATTTGTATTATATTTGCAAGAGGGATGATGCTTAACATAGCAATTTGACCCATAGTACATAATACAGCTAGCATCAAGTTCTGACACGCAACGCGGAAGTTCATGTTTTCATTTTCGTTTGTTATTGCATTTATGCGAATTGGAAATTGAAATATTATTGCTATACTTGATTTTTATATTCTTATTTTTACACTTCCATTTCTATAAGAGAAAGAAAAGTTAAAAGTGAATTTTTTGTTAAATATTATAAAAGTATAGAATGGAGGAGTAAAAAAATAAAAGGCAAGAATAACATTTTTATCTTAGAAAGGCAATGCATGCTCAGCTAGTTCTGCAAATCGTGGTAGAGTCCAGAAAACTATTTAAATTATAGTTCGACCCCATTTTAAGCTATGTCATTATTTGGATGTGATGTGATGTGATGATTTGCAAGGAAGATGCATATAACAGTGACATGTTTTTTTTTTGTTTTTTTATTTTTTATCTTTTATAGATCCAGTGGCAGGAATTTAATTACTAAATATATGACTATGTGATTACAAATATTGCAATATTTTGTTGATGCATTTGTCCTTACTATATACCATTTTAATTTTAGCTCTAATAGTATACTTGGTTATTTGAGATGCAACTATTTAGGGACATGATACATGTGATTTCTTGTTATTAACAAATGGCATTCTACTAATCTTACACCAAGTCATGAAATAAATCATGCCTAAAAATCGTAAGGAAAAAGTGAACACTAGAACTTTTTTCTGGCCCCCCTTTTCTACTTGGTTAATATATACCTGACTTTAGTTGTGGGGTTCTAATAGCTCTTTTAAGTGACAGTTTTATTTCTTTGTTGTTGTTACGACGTGTGTGTATGTATGCATATGCTATCTAACTTTACAATGTGAGCAAACGCTCAAAATCTTTAAGCTTAATGATAAAAGAACACCCATGTTAAGCAAAGATTCGAGTTTGAGACTTTGTGTATGCAGAAAATTCTCGCTGAGAGACTCATCTGCTAATGCTAGGTAACCTACCCGGGTCGGACTGGACATAGTCGAGACGAAGCCCCAAAAGCCAGTGGAGCAATCCAAAAAAAAAACACCAATCGTAGCACAAATACGTGTATTCAAGATATCTCACAGGTCGATCGCCACCCTTCAATTTTTCTTTTTTTTCCTTTTCTATCTTTTTTCTCCCTTACATCTACGGCTCTCAATGAGCCTGTGTAATGTATATTCAAAAGTCAGTGATACTAACATTTCACATAATAAAATACCCAGTATTGAGTTGGCACTGAAAATTTATGTTGGTTATCTAGGAGCATGATAGGAAATGTACATTATATATGTGACCGTACACCTCCATTGGAGAACTAGGTCTCTTTGGGTCGTAAATTTCAATTTAGATAGTCAATGCTAGGATATGAGTTTGTGCTTACTAATTTGTCACTTATTCTATTGAAACGCCATATGAGTTGGGGTCTCCATATATTCAGAAAAAAAATATATTATATTCACTCAAATGTATTTTCATAAATACGGTATAAGTGGTATGTTATTGCATAAATATATATAAAAAAGTAAATATATAAGTATTGGAAGTACGGAGAATTCATAGATAAAATCATAGTTATTAAAATCGGACTGACCCGGCCGGATCGACCTGGGAACCGGTAAATCGATCTGGCATGCATCAGAACCAGTGCGACTCGGTCCGATCCGGCCGGTTTTCATAAAAACCGGTGACCCGGTCGGTTAACCGGTGATCCGGCCCGATCCAAAAAAAAAAAATTCCCAAATTTTTGTTTTTAAAAAAAATAAAATCATAATAGCCATATTTGAATATTTTTTTGCTTATTGACTTACATAAGTTATGTACCTACATCATTAATATTATCTCAATTATGTACTATGCATAAAATTTTGAATTAATTTATAATTAGATATGTCGTTATATGAATCCCGTATCACGATCGTTATATTTTTGTTTGATTTTTATTTGATAATAATATGTGATTTATTATTTTTTGTATTAAAATATTTGAAATTTTTATCATTTTTTTTAGATATTTGAATATGTTTATAATTTTTTAATATAAATTATAAAATTGCATATAATTACCGGGTCATGCGATTGAACCAGTGACCCACTGGTTGAACCAGTGAGTTAGTGACCCGATACCTCGACCGGGTTAATGACCGGGCCAGTTTTAATAACATTGATGAAATTATATGTTTATGATATATTAAAAAAATTATATATTTATGGATAGGTTTGGTTCGATTTGAATTAAATTGGTTTTCAAAATCAGAACAAAAAATTGATTTTTCATATTTTTGGGCATTTTCATTATAAGTTTTTTCAACTTTTGATTCTTCGATCGGCTTAATTTTTTTATTATCATTAATTTGGATGGATTTATAAACACTCCAGTATAAAAACAAAAAAATGGTATGTTCACACTAGTCAAATTTATTGGTCAAAACTATTTGAAAGATATATTCAAAAAAAGGGTTATATATTAGTTTAATATTAAAACGTGTGATGTATAGATAAACACGCGGCGGTGTCGAATATTAATTTGGTCAATTATTTAATATTAGCCCACAAGAAAAAAATATTTGTAAATTTCCGAATTCAACATAAGTAACTTGCTTTTGATCGAAATCGAGAAATGAAGTGGTCCGGTGCATGCAATCACTACAAAGTTCAAATTACTCTACTGTTTTTGGTAAAACCATTCTGTTATTTCAATCAATTTTCATCTACCTACCATTCACCGCATTGAAATGAATTATACTTTATTAACTGGTGGTCCAATGGTAGAATCTTTGTTCCAATTAAGTCTGTGAATACGACATTTTTTTTGGTACCCTTGAACTTTTAAAATATAGAATTGATGAAATGTTCAATCTTAAAAGTGTTTTTTTCCTCTCCTTTTCATATTATTCATCTATTCATTGATTATTTGACTAGTTTGATTTGAGTGATTATATGAGTATTAAAATTTTTCCTATCATATTTTAACACAGTTATATTCTTAGAAATTTGAATTCAAAATCATTAATTAAATTGAAATAATCTCTTATCAGTTGATCCATATACTTGATGTTTTATACTCACAGTCTCACACCCCTTAAGCTATTAAGATTCGTCTAGTGATAAGAGATTTAGATAATTTGTATTAAGTTGTGCATTTAATTTCTACCAATATATCAAAAAAAATAAAAAATACTCGCACACCTTTATAGAAGCCGTTACTATTAGAACCCTATATATGCAAAAATTATTAAACATTCCTGTAAGTGCAAATACAGATCCCATAAATGATTAATGTAACTTCTGTGATCCATATTCCCTCACATCTAACGTAACATTATTGGGAGGAAACCCAATGCTAGGTGGACTCAATTACAAATAGTGACTTTTGTTTCAATAATTGCGCAATAGCCTTAACCCATTTCTTTTAACTGTTCAGCTTACAAAATTGCTATATCTCCCCACCAACAAGGAACTCATTGTATGGAAGTCAAAACTTCATGACCCCATTTCATAGCTGTAAGATGTGGAGCAAAAAGGACACCCATTATTGTTTTGCTTACCATACATCTTGTCTTCTAGTACAAGATTTGGGTGTGTTGTTTTTATGTGGTGGAAATGAGAAGATCTTAAGTAAACTAAAACAAAAGAGTTTCATTTGAATTAAATTACTTAATGGACCAATTATCAAGAAACTTAGTAAGTTCGTATAGGTGGATATGCTTAGCGTGTCCAAGAATAATTAGCAATCCCATCAAATTACAGCATGAAACTTTGGTACAAGGGCCAAACATGTGCATCCGTATGAACACAGGAGTGATAGGTACCTTTTATGTTACCTATTTCTTAAAATAAAAATAAAAATAAATGCAGTGCTAAACTTCGTTGTTGCAATAAATCAAAACAGTAACTGCATGGTTGAAGCAATTTGACGCCGTTATATATATAGAGGTAGGATCATTTGACATCAATGTCAAATTTAAAATTTGACATCTTATCTAAGAGTCATTAGATCAAAAAAGATCAACGGCTCTGATTTGTAAGCATGTGACTCTATTGATCTTTTTTGATCTCACCGCTCTCAGATGAAGTGTCAAATTTCAAATTTGACACCGGTGTCAAAGGATCCTGTCTCATATATATATATATATATATATATATATATATATATATATATATATATATATATATATGGGTCAAGATCATTTTATACTAGTATAAGTTACACTTTTAATCTTCTCCGTTAATTCCACTTATATCTAAGGGCTCAAATTTTTTAGTAATGTGAGCCATTAGATACAAGTGAATCAATGGTCAAAATTGAGTGTAAGACTTCAAACTCTTATAACGGTATAAGAATATCTACCCTTATATATATATATATAT